GAGGCTTATAGCAGAGCCCCCCCCCATGCAGCATGGAGCAGTGGGGGGCAGCCAGGACCGTCCTCCCCACCTGGTAAGAACCAGTGAGTTTGGAGCTTTTTTTTTTTTTTAAAGAGCCAAGAGCTGGGGTCCGGTGGGGCAGCCATGGCAGGGGCTGGAAGAATGGGCAGGCCCCCCACATGGTGTGGGGCAGCAGGGGGAAGTGAGGATCACCCCCTGCCTGGCAGCACCTGTTGAGTGGGGGCTTTCTGTTTTTTTTAAGAGCTGGGAGAATGGGCCAGGAGAGAGGGCAGGGGATGGGGCTCATGACAGAGGCCCCCACACAGCATGGGGCAGCGGGGCACAGTGCAGATCACACCCCTGCCTGGCAGCAGTCGGTGAGTGCCGGGCTTCTTTTTTCCAAGAGCTGGGAGCTGGGGCTGGGCAGGGCAGCCATTGACAGGTCTGGGAGAGTGGGCAGGGGATAGGGCCGATTCAGAGGTGGCCAATCTCCAAATCAGATTCGGCTGATTTGATACGGGACAGTGATTTGAATCACCAAATCAAATCACTGTCCCCCGAATTGGCCAAATCTGAAGCGAATACTAGCTGCTTTGCACAGGCCTCATAATTTGCCATATTATTCTGAAGTCAGACCTGGATTCCTGTCTCTGTTCTAACAAATGATTACTTATGTTACATTAAGCAGTCGCTGGATAAAAGAATTAGTAGCAGTAATTACTTAGATTTACATGGTTATTGGGGTCCATTCTCTCAGTTGAGGACTGTAACCATTAGACTAGAGAGTTATATTTACTGTCACACTCTCTTTGCGTCTATCCCAATAGTTCTTTCATTATTCTGTGCAAAGTGGAAAAGCTGCAACAAGAGAGACAAAGTCCTTCCACCCCAAATTAAGGTACAAATTGGTAGTTTTTGCTGGACCTCAGTCTTTTAGGTGTGGTTCTGAGGCTGCCTCCCAGGAAAGACAGACAGGCAAACAGCTAGGACCTTATTATACACTTCACCTGTTGGGCATTAGGTTTATCAATAATTGGAGTTAGGTTTTCCTTTTCACCACTTCTTACTCAGTCTTAAGGGTAAGAGGACAAAGAAGATGCATTAACTGAACAGGGTAGATCCAACAGAGTTTAGGAATAAACTGTGCCTGCCTATACATATGCTCACTCATATGCTAATTAGAACAATACAACATTGCCTCACCATCACGTGTATTAAGCCCTGGTGGGTTTTTAAATGGCTGTGGGGGTGCTTTATCTAAACTTTATCGAATGAGCTTTAGAAAAAGCATCCTGTGGCCATTTTAAAATGTGCAGAGGCTTAATACATGTGATGGTGATTGATTTTAATTAAAGTGGCTGTCTGGGAACCGCTGTAAGGAAAACACACTCCCCCACCCCAAGCATGTGTATAGGCAGCCTACTGCCTAACTGCTCATTGCTGTCAATACCGAGGAGGTTCCTGGTGGGCCTTGACACAACCTTTATGTGCTCAGAGAGTTTTGTCTGTCAAAACTGAGGTATCTAGGGATTTTAAAAACCCACAAGGTTAGCACAAACTGAAGTTTAAGGATTACTTAGGTACAGAAAGAAAGAAAGAAATAGGCAAGTGGGATTAAAACACAAACATCCTTTTGTAGATCTAGCCCAAACTGTGTAGTGCATCCATATCTGATATGCTGACTTATGTCCTGAATTGTTGGAGTTTTGCTCCATATCCACGCTAGGGCTGTTCTAAGCCATTTCAGTTGCAGTGTCTTTTGGGCACCCATTCCATAGTTCTGGGAACAGTTCCCCAAAGCAGTGGTGTTTGGGAGATATTTAAAGGCCAGTGATGCAGAGTGGGAGCACAAAATTGTATCAGTGGAAGGTGTTTTTGAACCATTTCACAGTCCAAAGAATTTTCATATTTCAAACAGTTCAGAAAAACAGTTCAGACTAACTGTGGATTTGATCCTGGATTAAGCAAATTTAAACAAGCAAGTATTTGGCTTGTATGTAATCCATTTGGAGTACCTGAGAGACTCAATTCAATATATTTTACAACTGTGCTGGGAGTGGAGCCAGGAGAATAACTGATTTCTTTGGTTTACAGGTAATTATGAAAAAACAACCATTCCAGGTAAACCCAAGTGAAATTTTCTATAATTTTGGTCAAACAAAAAATTGGAAAAAAGATGTTTTCTAGTTTTTTAAAGCTTACTTTTGATGAACTAAAACAAGAGTACTTTTTAAAATGAACCATTGTTTTGAATTGAACAATTTAAAATGTAAGTGTAAAAAAATGTCAACCCAGCCCAGAGACACCCAGCCCAGATCTGACAAGCAACTTCAGGTACCACAACCAGCACAACTGCACTGGTATGATGTGCAGTCTGGATTTTTTGGCATGGCTAGTTAGCTTGGATGGAACCCCATGCTAATACAGCTGTATTTCAGCTGTACTGAACTAGCTTGGGTATCCGTACTCAGTATTACAATGTTCCACGTAAGCAACCCATCAGTGTCCAAAATCTCACTGGCTGCCAATTTACACCTCTGGTCACTGTCTACACATGCGTCTCAGCACAGTAAAGTACTTTGGTGTAAGATGATAGTCCCTGATAGTACTATGCTACAGCAGAGTTAAATAGTTTACTGCACCCTAAAACCAGCTCACATGTAGACTGGGACACTGTATTGTGGAACGAATTAATCTACTCTGCAGTAAAGCGCACATGTAGATGTACCCAGTGATATTTGAATAAGCCATGATGTTGTACTAGGGAGCACTCACATGGACTTCAACATGGGTTTGGCCTCAATAAAGGTCTATCCACATGCTGAACTTACTGTGCTCAGTAGCAGTGGCTTCAAGCACTTCAGCACAGGCTGTTTCCTATGCTGGTAGCAGGGTAACTACACATAAGGGATTTATACACATGCTGGGTGTGCGGAGGGGAGGGAGAAGCACTTTAATTAAGGCGCCCAGAGCATCTTGCGAATCAGTGCCCTTGCACTGAAAAACGGCAGTTGGGTTGCTTGAACTAAAGCTTGTTCAGCATCCTGCTACCGTTTTTCAGTGTGCAGTCACTAATACCTGAGATGCTGGTGTCGGCTGGAGCACAGTAATTACTATACTTCAGCAGACTCGATTAATCACTGTAATTATAGCATGTCATAGCAGCTTCACTGCATGTGTAGAGGTGGCCTTAGTTTTTTAAGCAGGTTCGCTGCTCAGTGATATTGCCCATTAGCTTGTCTCCAAGATTCTTAGCCCACATGTACTGTGCAGATGTAGCGACACTACTTCTGGTTTAAGGGGTAGGCTTCACTTAGCAGCAAACTATCCTTGAGAGTAGTGATATCAGGCACAGAAGGAAATGCATTCATGTCTAATACCTTCAAATGCAAACTAGATGTAGATATGTAGTTTTTATGATCTGTAGTTTTAGATCATACCACTTCAAATTAAGTGGCTAACATGAATCATAGTGATAACTGGAACACATGCCAACATTTCTTTAGGAACCAGTTTTTCTGTTCTGATAATCAATTCCCACAAATTTCTGTAATATGTGATAATCTGGTATTATATATGTTTAGATGATAAGTCTGCATTATATATTTACATGATTCACTAATTAATTACAGATTGTCATGAGTTCTATGAGCAGAAAAGATATAATAAATGAGTCATCTCCTAGTTTTTTGTGTGTGTATTATAAAAAAAATGACTAAGTCATTTTAATTTAAAATTTATGCATATAAACCACCTTTCTCAGGTGTGTTGACATATGAATATTCTGAAAGAAATCTTTATTGTATCAAACAACCTGGATATATGTTTTTTTGAAGAGGTTGATAGGAGCAAAATATAAACCAAATCCCGTAGTCTCTATTTATACCAAAGTCTCACTTTAGTGACACGTTTGGGTAAGTACTAAATGCAATTGTGGGCTCTATAATAACTATACCATTTTTTTTATCATATCACTTCAGCATGCTTGACTGAAAGCAAGTAGCTCTCTATCTTTCGTACACTGAAACCAACTAGGTGTAGGACTGACTTTTTTCAGGTTCACTCTTTGAAATGTGTTTCATTATTAGTTTAGAGCTAAGACTCAACTCTGTAGTTTCTGATCACCAAACAAAAACCAAACCATTGAGAAAATCTCTCTGGAGATCTGTTCCCAAGTAAATTAAGGCAAAGGGGTCTTACAGCAAAAAATAAACATACAGCACAGCTTAACAGATGTGTAATAAGGTATTAATTAGGGAAAAGAGAAAAAAGAGAGCAGATTTCAAATTCCATTTTGAAATGATAGCACATATGTGTCCAAGCTACTGATTTTCTTATTAGATTGGAAAATACCCGCCCAGCTTCCAAGAGAAGCATTCATAGGAGCAGCATCCTAACAGTTAGATACCCCACTCACCAAGCAACACTACTAGACTACCTTACCTCACCTCACAGTACCTATACATGTATCAGTGACTATCCAGACAGACACCTTTACACATTTGTTGTAATACTTATTTTTCTGGCACACTTAATTATACAAAAAAATCCAAAGAAATGCTTACCCGGAGGGAGGAAGGCTGTATGCTGTTGTAACTGCATGTTGGCAAGAGCTTGTTGGTACTGGAAAATACCAGTATTAAAGACTGCGGTGGCACCATTGGTTTTTTCAAGCGCAGGCCTCTTTGGTAATGGGGGAAGTACAGCTTGAGGAATTCCCTGAATAGCAGATGAGTATAAAACAAAGTCCAGGGGAGGAAAAGGAGGGGGAGAGGGAAGGGGAGAAGGAGACAGGGAGGAGGGGGTAAAAAAGGAAAAAGAAAAATCAGTAGAAGGCCAAAAAAACAAATCAGGCAGCACCATGTTTATCCATGAGCAAGCAAGCAGCAAAGCAGACTTAACTACCAAATAAAAAGGCAAGGTAAAAGCTTTAAAAAGAAGCACTACTTTAGCCTAACAATACAGCAGTTCAGGTAAACTTGTTGGAGCTCTAGATAATAATAATTTGCCAAAGTATTTCATTTTAAAACGCTTCGTGTTTTCAGTAAGAAGCAACAATATTGGAAAAAAAAAATAAAAAAGCTGCACTGCTAGCTCCATGAGGATTGACAAATAAAAGCAATGTTAATAATCTTACAGAGTGAATGAAACAGGTAAGATATAATATTAAAAATTATACCCACATTTCCCAAAGTCTAACTAGACATGCAAAAATGTACCACAGCATGCTGGTACTTTAACATTGCATTACAAATGTTAAATCTACATAAGGATATCACTAAGCCATGCCAACCAAACAGATCCATAAATATACAGTAATAAATACAATTTTAATGTCCTCAGTACTTCATTTAGAACATTCTACAAGCTGGTTAAACTGAATGTGGGCTGCTGCGCTTTTAACAACTTGCATTTGGCACATACATTTACATGTATATGACCGTCTTTCCTTTTCATTGTACCAGGAAACCACACTCAGTTTTCCATTGTATTTAAATACTTTAAAACTGAAAAAGGAATATTTACTTATATAAATTAATAAAAACTTGTATCTACAATAAAGCTACATGCCAAGCTAAAAGGTGAAAGGTCATAGTACCAGGTCAAAGGTTGCCTCGAGGGGTCGCTTCAGTGATTTGACAGCCGACTGAGTCTTAATTAGCAGGCAGCGAGCACATGATGGCAATGGGCCAGTGGGGTTCAAGCGCATTAACATAAACAGCAAGCAGAGGTGCATCATGGGGGCAGCAGTGCATTTTTGGGTAGGTGAGAAAAAACAAATAAAAAACAAATCATCGGAATGCCATATACAACGAATAACAAGACTAAGCATGCACAATAAAGGCACTACTGAGTTGTTATTGTGAGGATACAACCTCTATGTAGTTAATTACAAACAAGATACTCTAACAGAAAAAAAGAGTGAAAGGAGAGAGAAGGAGAGTCTGCCTTCTGTATTTTTGCTCAAGTATCCATAAACACAGAAAAAGGCCTCTCTCATGTTTATTATACTCTACTATGGATATCACAAAACAATGTTTTACATGAAGTAGTATTTTAATGGTCAAATCATGTAGCTATGTAAATATAGGACATTAACGGCTAAGCAAGTAACAAAAATGGACCTGTTAAAATCAGCTATTCGATCACATTAAAAATTTACCTTAAGAATACATCTGAGCAAATAGCCTGCATGTATTTGTGTCTAATACCTTCAAATGTACTGCAGTTCCTACTCCATGTAATTGTCATGTTCAAGCATTCCCAGTTGTGCAATTATTTATTATACCATAATAAGAAGTAAGATGAATGAAACAGTAAATGATTAAAATCCTCAAGTAGTGTTACAGTCTATTTGCTTGAAAACCTGCTCCTAAGTAGTTCCAGACCTTACTATTAAGGCATTTTGAAGCACATTGCCCATGGTGCAAAATACTACACAAATATTAAAAAAGAGGACCAAATTAAGTTTCATGTAAAACTAGAAATATTATTAGCAATAATATAGGTGGATAGATTTTAAAAAAGGTAACATATACACACACGTTTATATCTATCTAGATAGATATAAATATACATGTACAAACAGAAACAGATTTAGACTATATATATGTACACACACATGTACACATATATGTGTATATATACATACTGTATACATCAGCAGCCAAAATTAGTAAAATATTTCAACAGCCTGAAACTACTTAAGAGCAGATCTGGTATCACATGCTGTGAAAGCTCATTATAGCGACTGGGATACCTGAACAAACATATCTTCAGCAAGAATAGTTAATAAAAAAATAATCACTTTCTGTCCTCAACATGTTAAATTTTAAAGTAGGGTTTCTGGACTCACCATGGCAGCTGCAGTCGCTGCTGCTTGGGCAGCTGCAGCTTGGTTGACCTGGTACTGGGCAGCCTTGATCTTGGCTTGCAGATGTGCAGGAGGGTGAAAGTATTTGCACTTTTCCCGTGAGCATCTCCCTTTGATATAATCCATACAGACAGTAACTGTGTTGTCATTGGTATCGATCATTGCACTGTCAGCAGGATGAGCAAACCGGCAATCATTTTCTCCTCTGTTACAATTGCCACGCTGATACTCTCGACATACCTGCAATGTTATTTTTTTTAAATGTTAATTTGGCTTGGTAACACTTACACTGTTGGTTTGGGACAGGCAATCGTAAGACACTGTTAGCATTATCAGGTAAACATTTCAGAAAAATTGGGCCTGATCCTTAAAGACCCTAAGGCCCATTTATAGTGCCAGAGAAGGACTACAAAAAGGAGCCTTGAAGTTTGGCGGTTTCTACTCACTTTAAGGGTCCCTTTTTAATGTGCTTTTACTAATGCACACTAAATTTAGTACCTCCAATACGAGGTACTAAATAAATGCACATTAGGCTGCACTAATGTGTGGTAGCACAAGGACACACTTTTTAGATAACACTAAATGAGGAACAGCCTATTCTACTGCACACTGGCATATTAGCACAGTTTTTTATGCGCTACTTTAATGCTCAGTAGACTAGGCTACTGCGCATTAAAACATATGTGTAGACACGCCCAGTGCGATGTACAAGAGTATTAGTGTAAGGGTGAATCAGGATCACAGAGTCTAAACCCACTAGTTTCAGCTATTGACTATAAGTTGCAACAATACATAAGTGTATAATTGTTTTGAAGAAGCAATTAAAACTAAGAAGAGGTTAAAACTGATTGTCCTGTCTTTCATTAAAAAACACATTTCTAATGAGAGCTTAATAAACCAATTAAGTCTGTAACAAGATGACTACCCTAATTCCCTGACATCAGTTCTACAAGCTACATTTTAAACTTCAAAGCAACTACATGCTATTACCTTTATCATTGAATGTATCTATGTGGAGGTACCTCAGCCACAAGCATCAGTAAGAGCCCTTTATAAGACACTCAGCTGTTCCTTCTTTCTACCACAAGAGGGCAATCCTAAACATGCAATTAAAGAGCCTGTTTTTTCTAAACCTCTGTCATGGTAGATCATAGGTACAGATTTTTTTCAACTAACCCCTTTTTATCTTTCTCTAAGATTATGAGTAGGTAGAGTATTTTGAAGGGAAAAATACAACCAAACTATATTGAAGATATATGTATACTTGTGTTGCACAACTAAAACACACTATTTAAGGAATATTTAAAGAATCCAGATTTCTTTTTGGTCCAAAGGAACTACTCAATTCACTAGTTGCTGCAAATATGAAGAATTCCAGGGACCTTCAGAACCTAAAAAATTTCCCACTGAATTTAGCACCCCCAATAAGTACAGAGACTTCTTTAGGCAGGTAATTCCTCATATCTAACGTACCAAGATGTTGGGCACTTTTCAACCTGTAGTTTTAACTGCAGTTCATTGCAAATCATGACCAAAATCAATCAAAGCAATAAGTTTTACATACTACTTCCAAAAGACTTTAGAAAATAAAGCAAGTAAATTCACACCACCCCATTTCCCCGCAAGAAATAGATGGTATTTCCTTTTAAATGTAAAGGCATTTGGAGCATTCATATTTCCGCAAGAAGCATCAAAAAGCAAGGTCCTGTTCCCTACAATATAGCCTACACTCACACTGTAGAAGTGGAGAGAACTAAAGAGAAATGCACTTTATGTTTCTTCAGCTCAGCTCCCCATGAAACAGAAAGCTTCACAAGGAAGCATACAATTTGGATGGAACATTTACGAAAGAGAAGGGATGGAAATTCAGTGTGTTTGAAAGCCAAAAGAGAACTGTCCAAATAACACTGGTGACTTAAAGTGAGCTGTAACAACTGTAAGGCTGCTAGTCATTTTAACCATTTTGAATACAACTGGTTTTAACCAAAGTCAGAAGAATTTCTCATACTTTCCTGTTTATCTAAAACTACTGTTTTACAATATGTTAATTTTTGCCAAGTGGCATGCCATAATTTGTCATATATTTGATATGCAGCTTGATGAGAATGTGTCAGGAAGTATGATACATGGTCTGCTACTCTTACAGATCTGCAAACCTAAATGTTTTTTGTCTTTTCTGATTTCCTCACTAGTTAGCAGAAAAGTGAATGGATACTTTACCCTGTAACTAATATCATCCTTTGCGAAGCCAGCAAATTAAGGGATACAGGCTAAAGTTAGATGTTCTATCTGAAGGAGCATTTCAGCACTTTTAAAAGCAGCATTCTATTTCATCTACAAAAATTGATGTTGCATGCCAGCATCACTCCAGGATTGTCATCTATTTGTCATTTAGGCTATTTTAATAATGCTTTGAGACTGATGTATTAAACTCATTATAGACTCTGGGTCTGGTTTACTTTTCAGGATGTACCATCAGAAGTTGGGTTACAAGCCTCTGGTATGCTATGCCAAAAAGAGGTGGCTAGAGTTGTCTAAAAATGGGTGATACTGTTTGGCTAGGTAAATATGAACTTAAATCACTGTTGAACTAGGGGAATTTATGCCTTTTGTTGGCTTCTTTGCATTTAATCCTGACTTTACCAACAGACAGTACATTTTGCATATAAATAAATCAATACTTTTTTCACTGGTACAACTTTGACAGATCTCCCAGTTACTCATGAGAACCTAAAATGATTTCTGGGTTATATATTTCTGGCAAAAATTACTGTATCTACAAGGAAACTGTCTCTTTATCAGATACGAAAAGGGAGCTCAAGTATGAAGTATAAAGAATTCAGCTGATCAATCACGTTTGGATCAGACAGAAAATGGCAGTCAGACTGAACTGAAACTGTTTTTTAAATTATTTTGAAAGTCAAATTCTTTCTTTAATCCTTTCCTTACTATGCTCTTTCCTCCTTCCTGACTTCTGTTAGCAGCAGGAACAGTAAAACAAAATCACAGTTTAGCTAAATTGGTACTATTAAATATTAGATATCTCTTGGAAATGTCTAATCTCATTAAATCTCCATCCTGATATCCAGATTCTACAGTCTGGTTAAACCTTGCTAAACAACCAAATATCTACATACTTATCTGAACCAAATGCGACATCCGAAACCAACAAAATGGTTTCAATTCCAAGTAAGAACAATCAATTTTATTATGAGGCCATTAACATTGATTCAATAACTCCTATTGACTGCCTGTCGTACTCACATTTTATATCTACTCTTCTTAAGGTTCTAGATGTTTTTAATTTACTTTTATAAATTTAGTGAAAACAATAAAAGCTTCTAGTTCTAGAACAACCTTCATTTAAGCATTTCAAGAACATGTTAAATCAATTTAATAGTGGAGCATTTCATTTTTTAATATACATTTTTAAAATTCTAAACAAAACAAGGCATTTTCAAATTCAGCTACTGATAGCCTCACAATTTTCTTAACTAGACAATAAACTCTGGGGTTAGAAAGAGAAGCCATATTCAGCTCCATTTCCACATCATTGCAAACATTTAAGTGATAGTAAAGATAAAGTCCATTTATAGGTGGTAAAAGCAAGATATATTTTATAGCCAATACACTCCTAAACAGAAAATATATTAATATCCCAAATCTAGATATTCTAAAATTAAAGACAAAAAAAGGATTAAAACACCATTTCCAAGTCCTTAAATGCTATATGTGAATTCATTCACTATGGGAAAAATGAATTAGTTCTCAGAAAAATAGTTGCTCTTATTGTAAAACAGAGAACAAAAGTTCAGTATATAATTGTAGAGAGATGCAATCAGTGAACTTGGATATCCTGTCCAGCACCACTGCAACAAAACAAAACTATTCAGTGTGCAAACCTCCGGGCAAAGTAAGATAGAAAAAAAATAAAGACAAAGTAAAAACACTGGCCTAAAATATTCCAACAAATCCTTTTGAAATTAGGTTAACTAGGGAACAGACAGTTTGCAAACTAGCAGTGAGGGAAATTTACTAGTGAGGCATTTTCCATTTAACACAAAGCATAACTAGAGTTCCCTTTGTATAGAAGGTTCCCTGAATCCAACAAAACAAATTGTGGCACATCAAAATTGCCTCATTAGTCTAGAAAAATAGATAATAATAATAAAAACTCTCTCCAGTCATTTCTCCTCCACTGTCTTGTCATTCAGATCAATACACTGGCTCGGTTCACAGTCATTTCCCTCCCCTGATCCAAGCCTCACAGCAAACAGACAGAACAAAGACTCCTAATACTAAGTCCCTCTGGGATGATTAAATACAGACACATAACTAGGGGCTTGTCTACCCAAGGATATAATACCAGTTTAAAAAACAGTTAAACAGGTGCCACCCTTATGTGCCACCACTCTTTCAGTTTCAGAGTAATTTAGCTTATGTTGGAAAGGACTTAGAGTAAATGGATCATATAAGAACTAAGGGCATTTTAACATTTGTTCCTGACGCAGCACCAGGCATTTTTAATTAGTGAGCCATGCTAAATAAAAATGTCCGCATGTCACATGTATCAGCGCCGCAGCACATCCCCACACTGAGAAAATGTCAGTGTAGTGCTTTGAACTAAAGCACATCAAATGTGTTTTATTTCAAAGCGCTCTGCTGCCATTTTCTCAGCACGGAGATGTGCTGCACTGCTGATACACATGACATGCAAGGTTGCCAGAGCGCATCAATTTACATGCTCCAGCGCGTCAGAGCAGGCTCCCCACATGTGTGTATGTGTAAGTGCCCTAAATACTTTGCTGAATGAGGCCCTTACTGTTACAACAGGCAACAAAGCTAGAGGGAAGTTTTCATGATGAGGCAGAAAGCAGAACTGAGGAAAGGAATGGGTGATTTTTCTTTTGAGCTCTGAAGGCAGGGAATGAAACGGGACTGCAGAAAGGCTGAGCACAGGGCCAGGGGTAAACATCATGAAGTCTGCTGGTTCCTGTTTCAGTGTAGGATTCTTTGGCTTGGCACCATGGGATGTGTGGAAGGGATGTTGCTGAAAAATGAAAGATTTCCTATTCACTTCATTTTAAGCTATGATAACTAGAGAGCTTTTGAGAAGTGTCATAGGATGATGCTACTTCAAACATGCTTTACAAAGGAACAGCAACTCTGCTCTTGTTTATTGTAATGAGACTATTTCCTTATGGTGAAGTGAAGACCAATCCAGGAGGATTTTTCAGGCAATGACAATTTTATATCAGGAAGCAACCAAAAAAACCCACAAAACAAAACAAAAAACCAAACAAACCCAGAAATCCCTTCAGTCTTAAAACTTATTTTCAGGGACTTGTAACTTGGCTGTAACTTTTTTATTCATCTGAGTGAAAAGCAAACCACTTAGACATGTTTTAAGTTTCTTGGTTTCAGATGCTTTGGGGTGCTTTTTTTTAATTAAAAAAAAAAATGCTGTTGAGTTTAGGCAGCAGTCATTGCCTCTGGGTGTCCTAGGAGAAGTATAGCCCTCCCAGGGAAGAGATGTTTGTTAATTTGCTAAGGTCTTTGGAGAAAGATATAAATAAATCTCCTTTGGACCAAATCCTCCACTTTAACCAGCCACGTACCTTAGCTCCAAATTTCATCTGCTTCATCTGTTGCCTGTGATATAAACTCTTAAGGTGCGTCTATGTGAGACATTTACTGCGAAGCTGCCTAATTAGCTCTGCAATAAATGTCTTGGCATTTACAAATGCAGCCCTATTAGGCTGCATTAAACTAATAAACTCTGCCATAGGTTAGTACTTGTAAATACAAGTACTGTCCTGGGAAGGAGTTTTTAGCGCGTAGCAATGTACATGTAGAAGACACTGATGGGGCTGGCTGGGACATGAGGGTGCTTCAGTGTGGAGGCTGCCTGCTAGCTAGCTCCATGCTGAAGCACCTTTGTGCCCCAGTCAGCCTCTCTGCAGCACACTGAGCCGGGTCGGAACAGCCCCAGGTTGGCAGGCTGATCTCTGGGGCTCCCTGCCAGCCGGGGCTGCTCCGACCCAGCTCAAGGTCCTGCAGTCCCAGCTCACGTATAAATGCAGTACCCAGGAACAATAAATTCCAGTACAATGTGTGCTGGAGCTTATTGCTTTAAATTAATTGCACATGTAGAGATACCCTTAGAAGAGTTACTCACAACACTAGGAACCTCGAAGTTGCAGCCTGGTATTAGAAATAAAGGGAAAG